TAGGGCCTTGCTAAATTGCTGAGGCTGGCCTTGAACCCACGGTCCTCCTGCCTCAGCCTCCTGAGCCACTGGGATTACAAGGGTGCCCCACCACACCGGGCCCAAGCTCAACATTTAAAGTATGTTCCTCCTGAATTTTCCCAAGTGTGTGTGCACGGACGTGTGTGTGCTTACACAGTCCACCTTCTTATTTGAAGATTCCCTGTTTGCAGATGCGCCTGTTTGCTAAGGTGTGTTTGTGATCCCACAGGCAGTGCTCTTGGCACATGGGGTCCCTCCCAGTCATGCGCAGAGAGGACAGACAAACTGACCTGGGCTAGGGGTATTGCTCCGTGGCAGAGTGTTTGCCTAGTGTGCGCCAGGCCCCAGGTCCATCCCAGTGCCACAAAAAATAAAGATAATAGAGGCCAGGACTGTGGCGCACGCCTGTAATCCCAGTGGCTCGGGAATCCGAGGCAGGAGGATGGCAAGTTCAAAGCCAGCCTCCGCAACTTAACGAGTTGCTAAGCAACTCAGCAACTCAGTGAGACCCTGTCTCTAAATAAAAGATTTTTCTAAAGGGCTGGGGATGGGCTCAGTGGTTGAGTGCACTTGGATTCAATTCGTGGTACCAAAAAAATTTAAAAAAAGATAAAACACTCGGTGTGCACCCTCCCAACTGAGGTTGCCAAGGCACGATCATCTTGTGGTCACCTTGTCCTTTCCATGGCTCTGTTTAGTGCCACATTTCCATATTTTGAGCTTGTTGTTGGTGGTTTTGCTGTTCAAACGGCCCCCTGGAGGAGTGCCAAAGGGCCGGGTGGTGTCCCAAGCCCAAGAGGACCGTGACCAGGCCCCATGTGGGTCGGTGGGCTTCATGCAGCTCGTGCTGACAGCTGGGCTCGTGTCCTGAGTGACTGGTGGACGGTCAGTGTTTCAGTGGCGGTGTCCTCAGAGGCGCCAGGAGCCTGTGGTCCGCTCACCCGTCCCTCCTCCTGGGTGGGGACCTGCCTGAGCCCAACCTCCCTCCGCCACGGGATCGCTGGTGCTGGGCGTAGAGGCAGGGTGCTCACTTATTTTGAAAGAACTTGAAACCTGACAGAGCGGGGCCGGCATGGACACGGCCTGGGAACCGCCTGCTGCCCCTTCCTCCCGCTCCCCCCCAGGTGACGTCAGACGATGTAACTTTTCTGAAACTTTGGCCGGACACTTGCCTCACAAGTCCTGAGGAAAGGGCCAGGTTTTGTGAAGATCAGTAGCCCCAGGTCCAGTCACCACGCCACTGTCCACACCCGGCCTTCCTGGGGCTCCGTGCTCCCATGTTGATGTCCCCAGGAGCAGGGGTTGGCTGTGCCCTTTCCTCCCAGCACGGGGTCCCGCCGAGCCGGAAGCCGGCTTCCTGCCCTCAGTGTCCTGTCTCCTGGGCCTCCTCGTCTGGACGCTTCCTCCATTTCTCTTTGATCTTTAGGTCATTGATGTCTTACAGAACACCCTCTGCCCTTTTCTGGTTTTTATTTTGCTTGGTCTTGGGTTTGGTGCGGGGATTGAAGCCAGGGCGCTGTGCCACTGAGCCACACCCCAGCCCTTTTCATTTCTTATTTTGAGACGGGGCCTCCCCAACTTGCTAAGGGCCTTGCTGAGTTGCTGAGGTTGGTCTTAAACTCTCAATCCTCCCGCCTCAGTCTCCTGAGCAGCTAGGATCACAGGCGGGCGCCACTGCACCCCACCGTGGGCAGAGTTGTTTCTAAGAGGTGCTGGGTGGCCACCACGCTCCATGCCCCCACGGTTAGTGCAGTGTTCGCCCACAGTGTCACAAGAACCTGTGTGGGAGCAGCTCTGTCCCTGGCCACTGTGTCACCTGGGCAGCTGAAGCAGGGCAGGGAGCGGGCTTGCTCCTTGTACTTCCAGTTCCGACACTGGAGTCCCCAGACCACAGCTGGTCACTAGGCACAGGAGAAGCTTTGGAGCAGACTACGGGGCCCTGGCCTGGGGGAAGGACAGAAGTCGGCGCCCTGGTCAGGTGCTAAGGCCAGCGCAGAGGCAGGGCTGGGTCGGCTCGTTGCCTTGGCAACCAGGGCCCTGAAGTTGATGTCTACCCCTCCCAGGCAGAAACTGAGCCAGGTTCAGTGGCACACGCCTGTGATCCCAGTGGCTCAGGAGGCTGAGGCAGGAAGATTGCAAGGCCGAGGCCCACCTGCGCAACTTAGGGGACCCTATTGCAAAATTAGAAGAACTGGGCTATGGCTTGGTGGCTAAGCATCGTGGGTTCAATCCCCAGGACCAAAAAAAAGAAACTCAGGCTTGGAGTCTCTGGCTTATGTATCTTGCAGTCCAGCTCCACATAGGCCTTAGGGCTTCTTATAAAACCCAGGCTTCTTCTACCTCAGGGCCTTGGCATATGCTGTTCCCTACCCAGCACACTCTCCTGCCCTGCCCCTTTTCTTTCTGACACTCTTGCTACCTGCGTATCCCTCAAAGGTCTTGAAGATTCACTGATCAAACCTTTGCTTCCTCTAGGACAAGCACTGACACTAAGGGACACGGTGGAGCAGCCCAGTGTACGCCAGAGCCCTGCCAGGCTGCAGGGTGGCATCCCCTCCCGGCAGGGTCAGGACTGTCAACGTGGAGACAAGACAGTGTTTGTACCAATGCCAGACTCACCGCCGTGGACAATCCCCCGCCCGAACCCCGCTGGGCCCGGAGGCTCCTCCAGCTGGCCTTCCGTGGAGTGGCACTGCCCGGCGGCGTCTGGAGGTGTTTAGGAGGCCCTCCCCGCAGGACGAGCTTGCCTAAGGCCCCTCTGGGTGCCCTGGGTGCTTCCTGCCCTTTTCCCGGGGCCAGAGCAGGGCCCAGCTTCCCCTTGAGGGCACTGAGAAGGGACACCTGGTCTCCAGGAGCCGGCGCAGGACCCTTTTCTGCCCCCTTCTAGGCCAAGGCTGGACCTGGGGCTTCTTGTCCCTACGCAGCGCCGCCTTCACACAGTGGTACCAGTTCCCCCGCCTCTGCCCAGCAGGGTCCAGGTTCAAGGTGTTGGGGCAGGGTCCTTCCTCCCCAAGAACCTCACCAACATGTGCCCCCAGCTGCTGCCCACAGATGCTCAGCAAGGCCACCAGCTGCAGTATTAGGAATGCTTGGGGCCTCTCCGCGCCCACGGGGACCTCCTGTAAGCCCGGCCTGCCCTGACAGGGTCGGGAACACACATCCCTGGCGCCCGGCTGTTTGGACCAGGCCTCCCGGGTGCGCCCTCTGCGCCCTGGAGCACACCACACTCCGCCAGGTGGCCAGGCGTTGTCTGCTGGCCACACACGGCCAGCAGAGGCACATGCCCGGGCTCCGGGATGGCAGGGCCACGCCCGAGGGCACTCGCATCCGCGGTCAGGGCCTTGTGTCCCTCACAGGCGCCTCAGAGTGTGACGGCTGCCCCTTCAGCCTCCTGAGTCACCTGCTGCCCGGCCGTGCCTGCCCGGCCTGGCGACAGCCCTGGTGGCTGCTGCCCTGTGCCCAGCCCACGCAGAGGACAGCCCCTGCGCCCCTGCAAGCACACGGGTCCCGGCAGGGCCACCCCCATTCTTGCCCCAATGCAGCCCATCCCGCAGGGCGATGACCCGGCGTCCCCTCCCCGTGTCCCCTCCTGACGCTCCGCAGCTTCTCCACGTAGCAGCGACAGCCGCCTTCATGCGATGCTTCCGGCTGATCCGGGCCA